CAGCCCTGGGGTGCCGAGTGGCCCGCTGAGTAGGTGGCAAGCTGCAGGCTGTGTCCCTGCACACATCCCCGCGGTGCAGGGTCAGAGAGGCAGTCTGGTCACAGCAGGAGCCCGCGGAGCAGGCTCCCTCTGTGCCTGGGAAACAGCTTTGCAGGGCCGGAAAGAAGTCTTAAACTGGGCGCAGTGCCTCCCACATCCAGGAGGCTGAGGCAGAAGGGTCACTGTGAACTCAAGGCCCAGCCTGAACTGCAGAGTGAGACCCTGACTCAAACAAACAAACAGAAACCAATAAAACCCACCCAAACCCAGAAGAATGCGGAGGATCATGGGCGGGGGGCTTTGGTGTGTTTACCGGTCCCTTAGCAGGCGTGTGCTCCCAGCGGTTTATGCTCCTGCAGACCCACGGGGGCAGGCGAGACTGAGCAAGAAGCACAGGGCTACATCCTTCGTCTCTCTTCAGGACGAATCCAGAGGTATTGTTTGTGATTTTGATTTTGAGAGTAATATAAATGTGGGTTTAATAATTTTCATGGAAAACCTTAAGGAATCACTAACAGAATTAAAAACAGGATGTCTCCTTTCCAAATCACTGCAGAAGATAAAAGCAAGCACAACCGTCCACAGGAAAAGAAAGGCAAGTAAAAGAGGAACAAAGTAATTCAAGAAAAGAATCTTAAACACAGATCCTCAGAATGAATTCAGATGAGGCCAGGCCAGGGGAAGAAAAAATAACACACACAAGCAATCTAGTTGTCAGTGAAAGGCAAAATTGCTTATTACATACATTGTAAGCTAATGCATCATAAATATACCTAACTTCTTATTTTATTTTGTCTTATTTTATATTTCTTAGTTTTTCCGAGACAAGGTCTTGCTATGTAGCCCCGGCTGGCCTTGAGCTGGTGGTGATCCTCCTGCCTCAGCTTTCCTAGCACTGAGATTACAAGTGTCCTCTACCATGCCCGGTTTATATCTAACTTTTTTAAAAATGCAAAACAGAGAATCAGCAGGGCCTGATGGCGGACACCTATAATCTCAGCACTCGGGAGGCTGAGGCAGGAGGATCACTATGAATTCAAGGCCAACCAGGACTACAGAGAGACCCTGTCTCAAAACCAAAACCAAATACAAGCAAAAAACAAAAAACAAAGAGAGAGAGAAAGCTTGGGCAAAGCTGCGAAACAAATAAAAAGAAAGTAGGACTGGAGAAAATCAACTTTCCAGGAAGTGTGTGGCACAAAGGAAGCACACACTGGCAGTGGAATGGCCGCCTCCACGTCCAGGTGCCAGGAGGCCTGTGCGTCCTCACCTCTCAAGGCAGAGTGGCCGGCGGGCAGCTGTGTGCGTGAGCAGCAGGCGTCTGTCTCCTCTGAGCAGGAGCCTGCGGGCCCTCGCGGCCACGGCCCAGCTCCACCTGGCTGACTGAGGATGTGTGCGGGGCTTTGTGGCTGCACTGTCCCGAGCTCCTGTGTGACAGGCGTGGTGCTACCTGTGTGTGTGTGTGCGCACACGCGTGCATACATATGTGTGCGCGTGCATGTGTGTAGGAACCTAAGCGGCGGGGACGAAGGGGAGAATACAGAAAAGCATTATGGAAGACAGTGTAAGTAACATCCCAAGCAGTTAGTATACATAAGAACGTAAATAGATTGGAAAATAACAAATTAAGAGTTTATATACCAGTATCTTGAAAAAATGTAAAAATCACCGAACAGGTCGACCTTTCCACAAATCCCATAGGAGGAAATGTCACCGGAGGCCCGTGTCGCCCCGGAGGGGCAGTCGTTCTTTGGAGCTGTGTGAGCCACGCGATGGCCCCACCATGCGGGCTGCCTGCCATCCGTGGTGACCTGCCACTGTCCTGGCCTCTTCCGGGAGCGTGGCCAGGGTGGCGCTGCCCCAGCCGGGACGGGGACAGGAGCCCAGTGGAGCCGCTGAGACCAGCTTGAGGCCCCACAAGGAAACTGACAAAGATAAAATCCACCAGGGCAAAGCGAAGCTTGAGCTCTGCAGCAAGACGAGGAGGTGAGCAAGTGGAGCACAGACAAGTGCCCCAGGGCCACACAATGGCCTCCGTCCAGGGCAGAGAACGTCCTCCGGCAGCCGGCCACCAGGCCGGGACCCTGTTGACTGCTGTCCCCACCAGCACCGGGGGGACAGGCAGGGAGGCCAGCGATGGGTCTGCTCACCCAGCATCCTGGGAACCCAGCAGGGACGGCCTTCAGGGCTCTCATTGGCCCCACCCCCTGCCCAGGCCGAATCTTTCAGGAGGGGACGCCAGGCCCAAGACTAAGGCCTCTTGTGCTGGTGACTCCCTCGCCTGTCACGCAGTCCACCCCCGGCAGCCTGCGTGCCCTTGTGCCCCAACGCCTGCTTCTGGGAGGCGATGCCAATTGGAGCTCAGCAGGCTCGGGGTGGGGGATGGTGGCTTCCTCCCCATCCCCCGCCTGGCGGCATCGCCCCCTGTGGAAGCTCTGCCCACGCCGCAGCTCCCGCCCAAGGACTCCTCGAGCCTGCTCCAGGGGGGACCTCGGCTCCCTGCCCTTAGCCCTGGGTTCCTGCTCCTCAGCTGCGCACGCCACGGGGAATACTCCCTTCCTTAAATCATCGGCGGTAACATATGAACTGAAGTCCACTTATTTATCGATTTAGCGGTACTGGTGACTGACACCAAGGCCTTTGCCCTGAGCTGCAACCTCACCCCCTCTTGATTTTTATTTGATAGGGGGTCTTGCTAAGTTGCTAAGATGCTCAGGGTGGGCTCCAACCTGCAACCCTCTTGCCTCAGCCTCCCAGAGCACTGTGAGATCAGAGGCCTGCCCCACAGAGAAGCTTCTCACAATGCAGAGGGGCCCGCCCTGCCCTAGAGGCCCAGGACTCCAGCCAGCCCTCTCCATGGGGCCGTGTCTCCAGTGGGTCCTGGCTGTTGTCACCCCCGGGGGACAGAAGCTGCATGCTTCCCAGGCAGCTTGAGATGCGACACACAAGGCCGGAAGGAGGCAGGACCGAGGCCGGTGGCCGGGCGCTCTGGGTTAAGGCTGCTGGAGAATCCCAGGGGTTTCTAAACATTTCTACTTGCTCCGGGTGTCTCCGGTCTTCACCAGCTTTCCAGCAGAGCTCTGAGGCTGGGACGACACAGGGTGCCCGGGGTCTAGGTGCGGCTGTAAGCAAAGGCCTGGCTGCCCGGCAGCCCCTGGGCAGGCTGAGGCAGGACTGGAGCTGCCTGGGAGGACAGCACCTGTGGTTTCAGCCAAGGGCCCTGAGTTCTGGCAGCGTGGACCCTGCCCACTCTGGCATCCAGTGACTTTCCCGGCTCCGGGGACTTGCCAACTGTCTCAGCAGCGCAGCCCTCAGCGTCACGTGGCGCCCGCCTGCTCCGCAGCCCCTCGGAGGGGTGCGCAGCCTCGGGAGCCGAGGCCCTGGCGAGGCCTGAGGGTGGCAGCCTCATCTCGACGACACGGACCAGGTCTCCAGCAGCACACAGGGTGCAATGGAGCGAGGCAGCCCCCCCCAGACCTGGTGGGGACCAGAAATGGGCAATGGGCGAGAAGATGCCAGCCCTCCTGGGTCGGCCACTGTCCACCTGAGAACCTGGCATTTAGGAACAAAGGTCACCAGGCCGGGATGCTGGCACCTCCCCCACAACGGCATTGTTCTGCGGCTCCCAAGCCCCCCAGGATGAGTGTCTCCACGCCGCCTGCTGTCACCAGCCCGCGGCTGTCTGCGCCCTTGCTTCCCCCTAACAAGGGGCAGAAGACAGGAAAGGCTGCACAGGGCGTTGCTGAACCAGGAGGCGGGGAGATGATCTTCGAGTTATGTAAGGTTTCCTGCTGGTTTTCAGAAGAGATTCTAACCTAAATTATATACACAAATTCTAAATCTTTGTTCATAATTTCACATTCATTGCTCCACGGAGCTTAGGAACTGATTGTTAGCAGCTTCAAGCAGAGAATAAAAGCACAGCCCCAGCTGCAAAGCAAACGGGAAACCTGACGGTATCTTCTCTGTTCATGGTCTGCGCTCTCAGGTGGCGTCTCGGTCATCGTCCTTACTCGGGACACTGCCCACGTGGGCCCCTCCGAGGTCCCAGGCACAGGCGCCAATCTCCCTCGGACCCCGCTGTGATGCCTGGGATGCCTGACCATCCACAAGGCACGAGAAGCTTCTCCCCAGACACCGGCCTCGATCTCAGCTGCCTTCCCCTAAGGTCAGAGGGAGCATGAAGAGGACCCCAGCACCAAGCCCGAGTTCATTCATCACAGCAGCTTCCCAGCGGTCAGGGCTGGAGTACGGCTGGCTGGAATCTCTTGGGATAACTTCTGTGTGTCTGGTCCAGTCCTGGGAAATGCAGCTGTGACAGATCAGAGGGAGAGGGCAGGCATCTGTGTTTGTACCAAGGTCCCCCTGGGGATTGTGGTACAGATAAAACTAGAATCGGGAAGCTGGTTGATATGAGACACTTGGAGGCAATGCCTCTTCACGTTCTCCCTCTTCCCTAAAAAAGAAATGCGGTGAGCTAGGTGTGGTGCTGCATGTCTATGATCACAGCACCTGGGAGGCTGAGGCAGGAGGACTGCCACGAAGTTAGGGCCAGCGTGGGCTACATAGTGAGACCCTGTCCCAATCAATCAATCAATCAAGTAAATAAAGACAGTTTTCAAGATGTTCATGGAATGATCTTTTTTTTACATTTTTGAACTAGTTAGGACAAAAACATTACAATGATTGGCTTCTTTCATTTAGTTACATAAATAAAATTTTTATAAATATCTCTTTATAAACAATATAAATAGCTTTACAACATAAATACATTTATGCATGACATGAATTTACAAACAGCAATGTTTTACAGCTGGTTTTGTCAGTCTCTTAAAAACTGTCCCTTGTCGTTAAGTCGGTGTAGGTGTGTCATGTATATAATATATATATATATATAATATATAACTTTTTATTTTTCATTTCCGAGAAAAAAAAACAAACAATAAAATCATACCCTCCCTACCCCAAATAATAATAAAACAGCTGGTGTTGTGTATTCCCAGTACCAGGGGAAGAAAAAAAAAAGAAATGTAAAAGCCACATCGCATTGGAGGTGTTTCCAGATGCCGGCGGCTGGTGACCAAGGATGACCTCAGCGTGCGGAGTAATTCCCAGTCCTGAAACAGAGGACACAGCATGCTCAGTTCCGGGCGCTTGGCCTGTGGGGCGCTTCTAGAACTTTCCTCCCCTTCCCACAGCAGCAGGAGGCCTGTTCGGCTGCGAGGCCCTGCAGACTGCTGGTGGAGGCCGTCCCGGCAGGGAAGGCCCTCTCCAGGTCTGTGTCTTCTGCAGCCTGGCCACTGGTCACTCCAGTGCAGGTGGAACCATGATGGCCCTGCCTAACTACAGGCTGTGCCGTGGGCTGGCGTGTGGTGAGGCCTGGTGACACCAAGGGAGGGGCAACCCCCCGCCCCTTGTTTATTCATTGCGGCAGTGCAAACCCTCACTCAGTTGCTTGCCTCCGCCTGTGTGTCCAGGTGACCACGCAGGGACAGAGCACAGAAATGTCTGAGGACTCAGAGATTCTGGCCTCAAATGCCAGCTCTGACCTTGATTCCCGGGTGGGGAATCACCCGCTTTGAGTATCGCTCTCCTCACCCATAAAATGGATAATAGCCACCTCCCAGGGCAGGCGCTGGGATCGCAGGGGCCACGTGTTAGCCCTAGGCAGTGGTCGGGTCACCGGCACTCAGGGGACAGCACTTCCTCCCCGGGACGGGGCCCCTTGGGAGAGGGCAGAAGCTGGTGCCAGCCGTGGGAGGGCAGCCTGGCCGGCCTTGGTGTTTGGGAGGACCAGATGCTGGGACAGAACTGCAGTCAGTCCCCACCATGGATGTGTGGCTGCTCCAGGGCCAAGCAAGGTGCCCCCCGCCCAAAGGACAGTGCACACAGAGGGACCCCAGGCTGGAATGGCTGGGTCAGCTCTCCCCACTGCCTTCTCTGGCTGTCCCATGTGTTTAAACAGATGACAGAGTCAGGCGTGGTGGTGCCTGCCTGTAATTCCAGCACTCAGGAGGCTGAGGCAGGAGGATTGCTGTGAGTTCGAGGCCTGCCTGGGCTGCAAAGTGAGTTCAAGGCCAGCCTGAACTGCATAGTGAAACCCTGTTTCAAAAAGGCAATAAATAAATAAATAAATATATAAATAAATAAACAGATGACAGACATCTGTGATGTTCCTCAGGCCCAGGGACAGGGTATTCATTGAGGTTCCAGCCGCACCCAGTGCCTGTCATTAGCATTTTATAATCAAGACCTATAACCACCAGCGACAGTCATTATGGTGGTGCTTGGAGCTGAAATCGCCCCGGAGTGGAGAAATGGACACAGCATCAGAAGTGTTTCGATCTGCATAAAAAATCTACACTGTTTCTCCAAGGCTGGGCTGGACATCTTCATCCGGGGACTGCAGGTACCACAAGGATGACCTGCTGTCCTACCAGGGATGGGCATGGCCAGCAGGGGAGAAGCCTAAGCCTGTGGGCAGCAGGTGCTCATCTAAGCTGAGTCCTTCCAGGGGGCTGGCGACCTGCCCTGGCCAAGGGGTGAAGTCTTAGCATCTGGATTCCTCCTGCCCTGCATCTCACGCCACCCACACGGGCACCCGGACACTCCACCTAAGAGCAAGGCACCTTGAAGAAGTGCTGTGGGCACTGACCCAGGAGAGCCACTCACTTTTTTTTTTGTACTGGGAATCGAACTCAGGACCTCGCGCTTGCCAGGCAGGCGCTTGTGCCGCTGAGCTATATCCCCGGGCCACTCATTTTTGTTTAGGTTCTGAAGTCTGAGCTTGGGGTTAAGTCACAAACTGAAAGTGGTCGTGGTCTCCACCTCGCCATTGTTTGAGACAGGAGAGCGACAGCAAAGTATCACGCTGGTCGTTCTGAAGCCTGTCCCCAGGCACCCTCGAAGGGCAGGGTCAAAGTCACAGGCAATGACACCCCTGCAAAACTGGGAACCAGTACACGGCCCCCCAAAGCTGGCTGCAGACAGAGGAAGGGGACGCCGCAACTGGGCAGGCAGCAGGTGGCAGGGCTGCCAGGCCAGGCCGTGTGGCTCCTCTGGGCACTGACAAATATCCCTAGGAGCCCCGCGGGGGTGACGCAGGTCACAGTAGCCTTTGGCCAGCATCTGGCCCTGGTGGGTCATGAGTTAACATGGGGCCGGGAATGGGTGCAGAAAGCACCGGTGCCTACTTGGAGACTGCCTGTGAGGAGGGCATGGGCAACACGGCCGCCCACCAGCGTCCCTGCCTGGGTGCAGCGGGCTGGGTGTGGGACGCGTGGTGGCGGCAGCTGGGCCAGCCGGGCAATGCTAGGAGGCGGCACCTTGGAGGGTGAAGAGGGCACAGCAGCAGCAGCGAGCCTGGGGCATGGTTTGGATCGGGGCCAGGGTTGGTGAGAAACTCCCGGTGGGACCTGTGAAGGTGGAGGCTGGGCAGCAGGGAAGATTGATATTAGTCTGTTCCCTTCCTTGCCATGAAACCGGGTCACAGACACAAGCTTTGCCCCCGCGGCAGCATCAGCACCCTGGACAGACCAGTCTGCCCACAGACAGTGTAGACGAGGGCTGAGGATCAGACGCCCCAGGCGGAAGGGCGGCTGATGCTGCCCGCTGAGCCGCTCTGCACCGCGTGGGGCAGGCGTTTCTCTGCATCTGTCCTGATGCTTGGCTGCAGTCTCCCCTCAATCCCCCGGGCCACCGGGCCCCGGCTGCCAGCCCTCCTGGGGTGGTCGTGGGGGATCCTGCAAGCCTCTTTCTGCTTTTCGGGAGGGAGCCGGATGGTTCATCCAGGCTGAGCCATTTCTGACCTTGCCCAGTTTCCCTAACCACTTTATCCTCCACTTCCTTCATCTGTAAAATGGGATGATAAATGGGGTGGCAGGCAAAGCCTCGCGCACCCTCTCATGCCAGGGTCGCTTGGCCCCGCTTCGCAGGCGGGCTGGGTTCGGGCCGGCCGGGCCCGCGGGGGCGGGTTTGGCTCAGCTCGGCAGGGCGCCCGGCGGCCCGGGCGGGAGTACTCACCGCCGCCAGGGGGCGCCACACTAACATCCCAGGCCGCTCATGGAGCCGATCCGGTCCAGCTTGAGGCCGAAGCAGCCTTTGGACAAACCCTTCTTGTTGCCTCCTTTGTATTTGCGCGCGTTGGGGTGCTCGTGCAGAAGGCGGGCCCACGCCGCCCGCGACTTGGTGTCCACGCGCAGGTCCCGGAGCAGTCGCGACCGGTCGCCCTTGAGGTTGGCGCCGCCGCCCCCGGGGGTCTTGTCGCCCTTCTTCTGACCGCCGCTGGCAGCCTGGGGCTCGGCCACCTCCTCCCCCGGCGGGGCTCGCGGGGCCTGTGGGAGGAAGAGCGGGCAGGTGACGAGACCACCGCCTGCAGCGCGGGCGACGTGCGCCCCGATGCCCCCGCCGCCTGCGTCTGCGCCGAGCCCCGAGCGCGACGGCTCCGCGCGCATCCACCTGCCGTGCCCGCCCGCTCCTTCGGGGGGCCGCCGGCCTCCGCTCCCTCGCCACTTGCCGAGCTGGACACACCGGACAGGGGCGCTGCGCATGGGCAGAGGCCGGGGGACCCCCTAAGTCTGGGCTTCCAGAGCAATTCTCGGGGGGTTCTGCGGCATCCGCGCGCTCTCCGCTCGGCCCCGCGCGCAGCAGCCTCGCAGACTCACAGCCCTCCACGCCCCTCGCCGGCCCACGGTCCCCGCGGCAGCACCCACCTTCGGTGGCGTCCCGGGCTTGGCTTCGGAGGGCCGGAGCGAGAGTAGCGTGAGCAGCAGGGCGCAAGCGAGCAGCTGGGAGAGGTGCATGGTGCCGCCGGGGCCGCCGGGCACGGAGCGGACTGCAGGCGAGCGCTGGTCCCAGGGCTGCGCGGCGCCGGCTGGGTGCGCTCTGAGCCCGCGGCTGTCCTCGTGCCTTTATAGCCCAACCTGCCGCTGACGTCATCGCCCCGCCCACTCGGGCCCGGGCCAATGGCACCGCGCACGCGGCCGAGCCTAGGGCCGGGAGGAGGCTGCGGGGGCTGCCCTGGCCCGTACCCACACCCCAGACGGGAGGGATCCCGCCGAGCGGCCGGCTCTCCGGGGCCGCGCTCAGAGCTGCACGCGAGCGCGCTTGGAAACCCCAGCTGCGCAGCGCGCTCTGTGGCCTGCAAGTGCCCGTGCGCCCAGGGCGCGGTGTACTCGCTGGGACCTCGCCATACGCGCCCTATCTGGGATTGAGCGGCACCCCTCGCTGCAGGTGCAAAGACTGCTTCAAGGAACTAAGTCACACGAAGTCACACAGCCAAAAAGTTGGCGCCGCCAGCAACCCACGCAGACAAGCCCTGTTGCCAAACTTCCCTGGGCAACCACCCTGCGGGCGCGGGCTGGCATCGCGCCTCTCTAGTACTTGCTCTCCAGGCTGAGAGCGGAGACTCCGCCAGTGCCATTAGGTTGGAGAGGCAGTGTCGGATTACTCATCCACCCCTGTCCAGGGTGTACAGGTCCCCAGAACGAAGTGCCGGCGGATGTATCAATCCCTTTCTCCAAAGAACAACTCCAGAGCCATATATCTGGGCTCAGGGGGCTAGCCGCCTTCTGGACTAAACCCCGACTGCCATTTGCAGTAACCTTTTATTCAGCTAGAACAAAGGAGGCAGCCCCGGAATTGGGGCGATCTCAACCGTTTTAGCAAGGCCAATACAACTCCACTATCTTAGGAATGAGACTTGACCAGTAAGCCATGATGTTGACTTCCTTAGGGCATATCTCAGAAAAGCATCTAGTGTTGCCCCGGGGCTAGCAATGCTTTTGCTAGCCTTCCTCCAGAATCCAACACGTGGCTTGGTCAGGCCTGAGGCAATACACCTAGAGAAGGTCCTTCTCCACTTTTCCCCCTTTTTGTTTTGCTGCAACCCTTTGAAGCATCAGCGAGTCAGCCGCCAAATGTCTTCCCGTTTCTCTTGGCGTTTTCTGGATGAACTTTGCTAGACTAAGAGGATCAGGCAAAGTACAATTATAATACCATGTAAAATGACAGTTACATATATTTATCCAGAAAATTAGAAATCAAAACCCTACATAACATTGCTACAAGACAATCATGATGACATATAGTACCATACTTAAATTTTCATTTTCTCAAAACATAACCAATAATCTTAATCTTATCCATAAGAACATATATTTGTTAGAGTATCTTTATGAGAAAACCTAACTGTAATTGTTACTGAAAAACTTTCTTTTGACTAAGTGGTCCAATTATTGGGGTATCTCCCAAGAGACTCTGGAGATCACTGGGGGCTTCTTATTAATGAATAAAGGTTGGCCACTCCTCTATTCACCAACTGGAGTCCTACCCAATGATTTCTCCTCACCCTGAGGACTGTGGTTAAAATATCTTAATTTGATATCATGTAAACCAGCTGGTAGCTTAGGGGAGAACCTGTTTTTAAATCTATAACCCAATTGTGTAATAATAAAAAAATTGTTGAGCTCAAAATAAAGGGGAACAGCTGTTCACTAAATGACAAACACATAAACAAGTACACAGAACAAACAGCTTTACAAAATCAGAGTGCACTCAAATATATTTTTGCCCAAAATGAATTATAGTAACTATTATAACTTTAGAAATTTATAATTTAAATAGACTAGTCATATTTGTTGTCAATAAGCAGAGATCTCTTAGAAAATTTTTGGAGAGAATAGAATCTTTTATGTACAAAGAACACGTACATTTTGTATTTTATCCTCTTAAGAATACTGGTGACTTTCTGTCGTTACTAATGGTCCCTGTGTGTCATAAGGACCGGGAAGGCATCTAGATTCATGAACATAAATTGACGCAGGCATATATGCCCAATTCTGTAGATTAGTGCCTACCGTAGTGGCTGTTACAAGCCAACATGGCTAGAAACATATTACCAGCCGTAAAGTCTTGTCTAGGGGAGTCCAGCAGCTTCTCGGCATCATGGGTTAATTTCTTAAGTTGTCCCCAGGTTGGGGGTTGTGCTTTCTGAGTGCTCTTGGTTGGTGTCTGGGGATGGTGCTGTAGCGACATCGCTCTCATTTCTTCCACCCGAAGATTCAGATCGAATCTGACTCTTCTGTGGCTCATGTTGAGGTTTAATTCTTCCAGCAGGTAGCCATACTTTTTCTCCTGAATCTGTAATGACACAGCAAATCCTCTCCCCCAAATTTGAACAATACCTCTTTCCCATTTTCCAGTGTGAATATCTTTCCAAAAGATAGGTTGCCCTATCGGCTCTGGTGGCCCCTTAATAATGGTGGCCCCAAATTTTTCTGCTGCTGCGGTAGATGAATCTTTACTAATATCCAAAAAAATTAAAGTGAATAGGGTTTTACGTAATAATTGGCATGGTGAACTTCTATCCCCTTCTCCCCCTTTTAGTTTTACTAACATAAATTTAAAAGTAGCATGTGCCCTTTCAACCATACCCTGTCCTTTAGGATTATATGGAATGCCGGTATAATGATCAATATCCCACAAGGCACAGAATTGTTGGAAGGAATGTGACACGTAAGCAGGTCCATTGTCAGTTGTAATTGCTTTTGGTTTACCTATAATAGCAAAACACTCTAACAAATGATTTTTAACACATACAAATTTTTCTCCTGATTATGCAGAGGCCCATATAAAGCCAGAATATGTGTCAACAATAACATGTACAAATCCAAGTTTCCCAAAAGCAGGAATATTAGTTACACCCATTTGCCACAACTCATTACTTTGCAAGGCTCCAGGATTTGTTCCAGGCTGAAAAGTAGGATTATTAAGTATTCAGCAAGTAGGACACAATAAAATGATTTTGTGAGCTTGTTGAATGGAAAGTTGAGGAAATTTTTTACGTAAACCTTTGGTATTTACATGAGTCAAAGTGTGAAATTCAGTGGCTAAACAATCTGGTAAAGAAACAACAACAAGTCTATCAACTTCATCATTCTATTTAACCATGTCACCAGGAAGATGTGAATGAGAACAAACATGAGTTATGTAAACAGGAAAATCTCTATTATGAATATTAGCTTGTAATTGGCAGGACAATTGATCAAGTTCAGTATCATTTGACAAAGTAGCTGTTTCTATATGATTAACTGTGAACCATACATATTGGGAGTCTGTAACAATATTAATAGATTCTGGAACATCTAATAAAAGTTGGGTAACTGCCTGGAGCTCTGCTTTTTGTGCAGAATGAAAAGGAGTATGCTATACTTTAGAATTTCTTCCTATATATCTGGCTTTTCCATTGCTGCTACCATCAGTATAATATGTGTCCACGGCAGGTATAGGTTCAGAGCACACAATTTTAGGTGAAATCCATTTATGCCATTTTAGAAACTGTAAAAGTTTAGAATTAGGGAAATGATTGTCTATTTTTCCAATATAATCAGCAAGTACAATCTGCCACTGTTCACTCATTCGTAATGCCTGATCTATCTGCTGCTTTGTCAAGGAAAAAACAATAGATTCAGGGTCTTTTCCTGATAACTGTCCTAAGCAAGCTCGACCTTTAAACACAACTAAACCTATTTTATCTATATAAACAGTGAGTTGCTTCTGTTCCTTGTGTGGAAGAAAAACCCATTCTGGAACCGCTTCTTTCTGCCATAATATAGCCATAGGAGAATGGGATGACGGAAAAATGAAGAGTATAACTAGTTTAGATAAACCTATGCGGGTTATTGGAGCTTGACGTATATTCTGTTCTACCCAGGCTAATTCTTCTTCTCCTTCTTTTGTAGGGTGGCGAGGGCTATCTAATGCTGGGTTTCCTTTAAGAGTATTAAAAAGGTGTTGCAAAGCACAAGTAGGAATGCCTAAAGAAGGTCGTAACCAATTAATATCTCCTAATAATTTTTGAAAATCATTAAGGGTGAGAAGCTGATCTCTACAAATACTAATTTTGGGGGGAATTATTTGCCGCTTTTGAGGAACATGACCTAAATAGATAGTAAGGTAGTTGGTCTGTATCTTATCTGGGGCTATCTGTAGGCCAAAGTCAGTCAATAACTGCTTGGCTACACAGAACATTTGCTGTAAATACCTTTCTGAACTAGCAGAAAAAAGAATATCATCTATAAAGTGTATAATCAGAGCATCTGGGAATCTTTCCCACAATAATTCTAAAGGTTTGTTGACATAATATTGGCAGAGCATCGAACATTTAGCATTCTTTTGGGAGAAAGGGCTGTTTCCCTTCAAAGCAGCTGCAAGCAACCCTCTTTAAAGGTTTCTGATCCTATATCCCAACAAGCTTTCATATGCTCTCCCAGAGTAGCATCCTGAGATTTCAAGGGCTTTAAAATCTTTTTGCATTCTGTATTAGCATTATCATAAGATAACATTTTTAGTAATAATTCTCTCAAAGCAGGCTGAGACACTGTTTTCTGGAGCACTTCTTTTAATCTAGCTATAAATTCTACATAAGGTTCATTAGCACTTTGAATGACCTGAACAAAAGAAGGAACAGTTCGGCCAGCAGAAGCAATCTCTTGCCATGCCTGGAGACAGCACGTTCTTGTTTGGACAACTGCATTATCATCATATTCTAACTGTTGCTCAATACCAAACCAATCACCAGAGCACATGACTTGGTCCACAGAAATGGGAACTGGTGGATTGGCATGGGCATTACGGCGGGCCATTAATTCTGCCTCATCTCTCCACCAAGTTTTAAATTGAAGGAATTCAGCCGGACTGAGAACTGTACGTCCAATCATTCCCCAATCCCATGGAATTAAGCGGTCAGACTGAGCTAGTCCTGAAATCAACCCAAAGGTATAGGGAGAATTCACTCCATATGAAACACAAGCCTGCTTCAATTCCTAAATAGTTTTAAAAGATACTGGTGCATGACTATGCTGAACAAAACCTTGGG